AAAAGTTGTATTTTCATATAAGCAATCATAAGCAAAACGAATTTAGAAAAGTTTATAAAACTAAAAAGTAGAGGTATTTTAGCCTTTGAAGGAAAAACTTCAGAAATGCATAAATTTGTTAAATAAGGTCATAGAATGCTGGGAGTGGTCTCATTTTGTAGTCCACACTTTTCTCTACATTGTTCAGCTCAAAATCTGAAATCTTTTTAAAAACGAGAGATGGAATACCGTTAAATTAAGATGAATGAAAAAATTTTGTTCTTTCTCAAATAAAATTTTACCATTAATAAACACAGATATCGTAGCACAAAATACATCCGACTATTTTGATTGCTTCCATATCAGAAATTTTCACTACTTTTACTTAATGGTGCACATTTATTTATTTCTCAACAATATGAAAATGTTTGACATATATTTATAGAAGTTATGCATCATTTTCGCATCACTATGTTAACAGTGACGAAAAATTGGCATTTACTAACAAATACGAGTGAAAAACGTGACAAAAAAAAAAACAATTTTTTAATGATAATACTCTTCATTGTAACGAGAAGAAGAATCATGTCAATGGATACAGTGAGACAGAGTAAATCTTGTCCCGAATGCTGTTTGATTTATTTTATTGTGAAACAGTACAAGACTGAACTGCAACAACATTTAGTGAATATGGCAATAATTCATTAATGTTAAGAACATTGTCATTCTTTTATTGATATAAAAAATTCACCCGGTGTTATTCATATACATATGACACTAAAACAGATGTTTGAAAGAAGAAAACAATCATACACGAAAAGGTGTCATCTCAACAAAACCGTCGTCAACATAGTTTTTCTAACTGATAAAAACCATTAAGTTCTGAAATAAAACTGTCGAGCATTTCTTACTTTTTAGCCTGATGATTTCAGAAACAATCTATATACTCCGATAGATCGTAGCTAGACGATCGGGTACGTTCGAATAAAGGAGAAATATTCGCTTTATTTGCGAGTTGATTATCAGACTAGTCTGTGTCATTATCTGGGACAAATCAATATTCTTAAATAAAGTTCGCACGTTTTTTCTTATTTTATTTTGATGTAGGTATAATGCTTGCTGCATTAAAACTATTGGAAATGTAACTTAATGGATCAGAAATCATTTTACTTCCAGAAGGTGAACGAATTGATAAATTATTCTTATTGCCCGTAGATAATTGTATATTTTGATGTTGATAATGAGAGTACAATAAGTCAGAAGCCAGAAAGATTGGTAGCTAAAAGCTTGAGCTTTCTGATACTTGTCAACTGGGCGTACCTGCGTTGTACTCAAATTATTTTTCAACAGATAAATGCAACACAACACACAAAACAGGGTAACATGGAACTTCTTTTTAAAATGAATGAGTTACTAAGGGTGACACATTATGCTTAAAAGTAAATGGGAAGAACAACATAAGAATTAAAACCAATCTTCACTGTTCTTTCGTTCTTCCTCTCCAAACAGAACAATGTACACTTATTCACGAATATAAATTCAAGGAGAAAAGAGTTGGTGCGCAACCAACACGAGATAGAGTCCGAGTCATTGTAAATAAGTTCTTGAGCAAACAATTTTATGGTGTAAAATGATGAGATATTACAGTGAATATCGTCGCTATTTAGCATCGAAAAAGCTCCCTTCAATATTTGACTAAATGTCTTATTATTTGCCGACTGTGATAACGCAAGACGACACTTCATGACAGTAGGATGTGTGTGGGCTTATTAAAAGATGCATCATCGAAAACGTTCCATCATTTGTTTTAAAACTGTGTGAAAAACGATAGAATTGCTAATCCGATATTTTTGACCCTTTTATCTAGATATGACATTTGATTATTTTCATTCTGATTCACTTTGAATAGGAAGAGGTATTCATTCTACCTAACTCGACACGTGACATTTGAATCTAGGCATATTTATACTCACTGACAAGACTATCCTTTAAATGCAATATTTACACCGAAATAGAATATTCATTCATTTTCATTTTCATTTTATTCAATATGCTGAATTTTGCTTTACATTTTGCATATTTGTGCAAACAAATACTGTATAAGAATCAGCAGAAGTGAGAAACGTTGATAGTCATTCATCCTGATATGATCAAGCATAATAGCAGCACTATTTGCATGAAACCAAATTCAATCTGACATTTTTAATTGAAATATTCGAAAATTAAACATTAAATATTCAGCATATTACAATTAGCGTAGACAATAGACAGCGAGAGAAACAGAGACAGTTAATGTTTTCGTATTCATGTAATTGCTTTCAAATCCATCAGTATTTCATCACATTTCTAATGGTGTCCAACCTCTGCAATTTCATGAACTCTATTTTTCTGAATTATTTTACGTAGTGACCATGTGAATGACGGACGATCCGCAACAGGTCTGTCATGTTTTTTCTCTTCAACCAGTAATTCATATTGAAATCCTTCATCATAATTGAAATTATCAATATTATCAAAATGAAACTCCCATCTATCATTAGGTGCCATTTTTACTAGGAAACATCTCATTGGAACTGTGCCAACACAATCTGCTTTATTTTGAGCAACATAAATTCTTTTTTCGAATACTTCCAACGACATTGCTGCATTAAATAACACCAAACACAATATTATTGCAGTGAAAGTATTCATTTTCTTAATATTTATCACCTAAATCAAAGGAAATAAAAATTAACTGAGATTCTGTTGATCATATTTTATACTATTTTTGCACGAAAGCCACATTTCAGTACAAGACCATCTCAGAATAAGGTCAGCGGAAAATTCTTTTCTTTCAGAAGCTACTCAGCGTCTTCCAGTATGCTTAGTATTTAGCGTGCAGAAATGTCGATTACATACACTAGCGACTAGCGAATAATTCATAAATAATCTACCATACTTATGAGTGAAACGCATTGCAAAATAATTTTAAAACCAAAAAATGCTTATTATCATTGCTTATTCAAATCAACAATGGAATTAGATATATTTGCATCAGTTATCATATGGATATAAAAACGATTAGCCGTAAAACAGTATTAATACTCTACTTTCTACCCCTAAGACGAGAATCGTTTGTTGATCAGTTGGTGAGTTAACTTAAAGGGTGAACCAACGATGATGTACTACTTACTATGAGAGAATAATTTGAATTTTGTTTGAAGTGAAAACGAAACGTTTAAAAGTGAAATGCGAAATTACTAAATGGACTGATATGTATGTTGTCTAGAATGAGTATATATAGTAGAGATGACAAAGAGAGAGAGACGGATACAATATAATAGTATTAACGAACCAAGCAACAAACTAAGACTAAACATAAAGATCACTGTTGTTTTAATCGACCGACGAAACGACAAACAATGAAGATTTTATTTTGTTTTGAATATTGAATGTAAGCGATGGTATGGACGACTTTCCTTTTCTTTGATTTCTTTACAGTTCTTGAATAATGTGTAGTAAATTTAGGCGTCGATTGTGCAGAACGGTCGACTCTTCACAAAATGTACAACAATATGTCTCTTTGTTTGTTTCAATAGATAGACGGGGATTTTCTTCCCATTCAAGAAAGAAAACAAACAAAGAGACATATTGTTATACATTTTGTGAAGAGTCGACCGTTCTGCACAATCGACGCCTAAATTTACTACACATTATTCAAGAACTGTAAAGAATCAACGTCGTCAGTCGAAATTCATCCAACCTACTTTAGATTTTCAGAAAATACTCTATTTTATCCGCTCATTCTGAATCTGTACGTAAAATCAATACAACTATTCTCTTAGTTCCGGAACTTTCTGCGAAACCTCTCTAGACACCAAAATATTTTCTATTGCTTTTTCAACATTTATTGAGCGGCAGATAAAATAGACTATTTAATATATGTCGAACATTTTCATATTGTTGAGAAATAAATAAATGTGCACCATTAAGTAAAAGTAGTGAAAATTTCTGATATGGAAGCAATCAAAATAGTCGGATGTATTTTGTGCTACGATATCTGTG